TCCAAATAGGTTAAGGAAAAAGTAAAACTGTCAATTTTTGTAGATGATGTGATACTATGCATAGAAAACCCTAAAGAGTCCACCAAAAAACTATTAGAACTAATAAATAAACTTAGTGAATTTGCAGGATACAAAATTAAGATACAGAAATCTATTGCATTTCTATACACTAATAATGAAGTAGCAGAAAGAGAAATTAAGAAGACAATCACATTTATAATTGCATCAAAAAATATAAAATATCTAGGAATAACTTTACCCAAGGAGGTGAAAGACCTATACTCGGAGAAATAGAAGACACTGATGAAAGAAACTGAAGACAACACAAACAAATGGAAAGATATACCCATGTCCATGGTTTGGAAGGATTAATATCATTAAAAAGTCCATACTACCCAAAGCAATCTACAGAGTCAATGTAATCTCTATCAAAATCCAAATAGTACTTTTTACAGAACTAGAACAAATAATCTTAAAATTTGTATGAAACCACAAAAGACCCCAAATGGCCAAACAATCTTGAGAAAGAACAACAAAACTGGAAGTATCACAATCTCAGATTTCAAGATATACTCAAAGCCAAAGTATTCAAAACAGTATGGTACTGGCACAAAAATAGATACATAGATCAATGAATAGGATAGAGAGCTCAGAAACAAACCCACACTTATATGGATCATCAATCTATGACAAAGGAGTTAATAACATACAATGAGGGAAAAACAGTCTTTTCATTCATTGGGAATACTGGACAGCTACATGCAAAAGTATGAAACTGGACTACTTTCTTACACCATACACAAAAATAAATTCAAAATGGATTAAAGACCTAAGTGTGAGACATGAAACCATAAAACTCCTAAAAGAAAACATAGGCAGCAATCTCTTAGACACTGGACATATTTTTGGATATGTCTCCTCAGGCAAGGGAAACAAAAGCAAAAATAAACTATGGGACTACAACAAAATTAAAAGCTTTTGCACATCCCTGAAGAAAAAAGGAACCTATTGAACGGGAGGAGATACCCAATAAAGGGTTAATATCCAAAATATATAAAGAACTTACACCACTCAACATCAAAACACCCCACATAATCTCATTAAAAATGGGTAGAGGACCTAAATAGGCGTTTTTCCAAAGAAGACATCCAGATGGCCAACAGACACATGAAAAGACATTCAATATCACTCATCATCGGGGAAATGTAAAGCACAACCACAATGAGATATCACCTTATACCTGTCAGGATGGCTAATATCAAAAACAAGAAATAACAAGTGTTGACAAGAATGTGGAGAAAAAGAACCCTCATGCACTGTTGGTGGGAATGCAAATTTATGCAGCACTGTGGAAAACAGTATGGAGTTTCCTCAAAAAATTAAAAGTAGAAACACCATATGATCTAGTAATTCCACTACTGAGTATTTATCCAAAGAAAACAGAAACACTAACTTAAAAAGATATATGCACTCCTAGTTTATTGTAGCATTTAAAAAAATAGCCAAGATATATAAGCAACCTAAGTGTCCATCAATAGAGGAAGGGATAAAGATGTGGTATACATACACAATGGAATATTATTCAACCATAAAAAGGAATAAAATCTTGTCATTTGTGACCACAGGAATGGGCCTAGACGGTATTATGCTAAATGAAATAAGTCAGAGAGAAAGACAAATACCATATGATTTCACTTATATGTGGAATGCAAAAACACCCACAATCAAACAAACAAAAAAGCAGAAACAGATTCATAAATAGGAAGAACTGGTGGTTGCAGGAGGGGAAGGGAGTGGGGGAATGGGCAAAAAAAAAAAAAAAAAGATGGTGAGATCATCTATCACTAAGAAAACTCAAAACTATGGAGATGTTAAGTCTTTTCAAATTGAGCTATCTACATAAAATTTAATACCAATCAAAAGTCCAAAGTTTATTTATAGAACTTGATAATCTGATTCTAAAATTTATATAGATGATCAGAAGAACCAAGAATAACCTGGAAGGTTTGTTCAACCAGATATCAATATTTATTACAAAGGTATAATAACTGAGTTTGAGAGAAACAATGGATCAGAACACGGAGCCTATAACAAAATCCATGCATATATGAAACTTGCTTAAAAATAAAGGCTTCACTGCAGGTCATTTCAGGGGGGAAAAGAAGGACTAAAAGAAATGGTACTGAAAGAACTGGGTATTCATATGGAAATTAAAGAAAATTAGAATCCTATCTCATACCACATATACAAATTAATTCTGGGTGAATTCAGACTTAAGTGTAAAAAGGAAAAACTTTAAAACTTTTGGAAGAAAATATAGAAAATGCAGATTACCTACAAAGGATAAACAATAAGAGCTCTTACATAAGCAAAATATCAAAGACACAATACATTTAAAATACTAAGGAGACAAAACATCAACTGAGAATAATTTAATCACCTAACAAAACTCTCCTTCAACATTAGCAGTGAAAGATTTGTTTGGACAATGAAAGCCCTACTTACCCTTGCTAAAGGAAGTACTACAGCAAGAAAGAAAGTAAACCCAGAGGGAAGGAAGAGAAAACAGCAAGCACATCAATTCAACACATTAGCCTATGTGTTACCTCAGAACAACAATTTTTATTCCAAAAATTGATAGATTCTCCAAAGTAAAGCAATAATAAGAAAGATGGTTCCTTGAGATGAACATTTAAATATGTTAAGGTCCTCATGGTGTTCTAGAAGAGGATGGGTATATTGAAAAATGTATACTTCATTTAAAAAAAGTGGTAGGTGTGAATATTAAAACTTCAAGAGAAAACACTGAAGGAGCAGAAATTGCTTAGAAACATGAAATGTGCTTTTTGCTGGAGAAGGCTTTATTCCATGAAATATAGACCTATTTGTTCGGTTATGTTTTAATTAACACCACCAGTTTATTTTGTACATTTTTTTCCTTTTTCTACAAAAAGATAAAAAAGCCATGTTTACTTTAAAAAATGATCCTCACTAATACTCTCTTTTTTATAAAAACAAATTAAGTTTTGACAGTTTTAAAACCTAACTGTACTATGAATCACTGTTTATTCCATACAAGAACTTAATGATAAAATGTTAGAGGCATTCCCTTTAAAAGATTATCACTATTTACAAGAGTCCTAGCCAATGTTGTAAAAGAAGAAAAATAAATTATGTATTGACCCTTGAATAATACAGGGGTTGGGGTGCTGACCCCTGCACAGTCAAAAATCCACATATAACTTTGCCTCCCTAAAAACTCAACTACTAATATAGCCTAGGGTTGACTGGAAGCCTTACCGATAACATCAATAGTTGATGAACAGATTTTGTATATTATACACTGTATTCCTACAATAAAGTAAGCTAGAGAAAGGAAAATGTTTTCAAGCAAATCACAAGGAAGAGAAAATACATTTACAATATTGTATCTTACTTATAAAAAAACAAAAAACAAAAAACCCTGCATGTAAGTGGATCCATGCAGTTCAAACCTGCATTGTTCAAGGTTATTCAACTACAGTTGAATAACCAGGGCAAAGGGGCAAAACTTTCAGTATCTGCAGATGATATTATGCCTATATAAAAAATCTACAAACGTTGGAATAAAGAGAGTTCAGCAAGACTATCGGAGTTGAAAATTTACACAAAAATCAATAGCAACAAATTAAAAGATCTTTTAAAATTAAAAAATCATGTTTATTATAACAAGAAAACTTAGAAGGCACCTAAGAATAAATATAATAAAAGCTATATAAAAGTGTATGAAGAAATGAGAAAATGTTTTTGAAGTACATAAAAGACCTGAATTAAAAGGTCAAGAGCCTGTGTTTGAAGTAGGAAAGGTGAAAACCATAAAGATGTCAATTGATATTTATTCTATAAATGTCAATTCCTATCATAATCTGAACAGAGGAATATTTCAAGGAATTATACAAATTAATTCAAAATATCATAACGACAAGTAAAATGACAAGAGTATAAAACCAGTGTGAACACAGAAGGAAACAGGGTTCATTGATGAATTAGATATGGGGGGGGAGAATACAAGATAAAAGATAAACATAGTAACTCCTCTACAGTCATGGGCTCAGTAATTAAGAAGTACATACTTCATAAAGAAAATTCATAAAAGCCAGCTATTGCCAAACACAGTGCAAGTGAGCAACCTGCCTGTAAGCCATGTGGTCTCTGCTCAGACCCGCCACCTCACTGCCACGCAGGGGAGATCTCTGAGAGAAAGAGGTCAGTGCGGTCTGCAGGACCATGACTCAAATGCACACGGATGAGGGTCTGCACTTCATGGCCTGGCAGAGCCTCACCAGTCTAGCAAACTGAGATTTTCAAGACCCTCAAAGAGCCATCCCAGGGAATTTTCTCTGAACTCTGCATTGTGTACTATCTCCTGGAAACTTTTATTTTTTTTTCCCACTTAAAAGCTGATTGTGTGTTTGCCAATGAAAGTAGATTCAAGGACGGCCACAGGAGCAGAGGGAGATGATTTTTGTAGGAAGAATGAAGCAGAACAGAAGGACACAGAAGAGGACAATGGAAAAGCAAAGCTATCGCTTCTCAGCCTTTTGGCTAAGATCAAGTGTGGAAAAGCAAAGCTTCCAGGCCCTCCTGCACACATGCAGCACTTGGAAAAATGAGGAAAAGACCAGCAACTCCTCCTTTGTTTCCCCCATCCCCTGAACAAAATGTAAATCAAGAGAGATCACAGGTGCATTAGTGAAAAGTTCTTCAAGTGATGTGCCTTCCTGTTGCCTTCCTGAGCCTCATAGAAACACAGAAGGAGGAAGGAAGAAAGTGATTTGCACTGGTTTGTGGAGTTTAATAATCCTGTAAAGGTAATTGTGTGGCTCTTGATAATTCAGCAGTTTAGACTCATCACGACATTTCATCTTCAAGGGCTATTTCAATCCCTCAAATAGATTTTTATTCTACCACTCACACATTCAAGGATGAAAAATGTGCCTCACTGTATTAAATTAAATTACCTTTAAAACTTGCAGCTTTGCTTCAAGCTCTGCTCTTTTGAGAATCATTGTTCCATTAAGAGTCTCTATCCTGTTTTAAGAAAGAAAGGGAGGGGGGAGGAGAACAGCATGAGTGATCCTTTCAAACAAGTACCATCCTTATGGAGTACTACACTTTGAGCACAGACTATACTTAAAAAAGCAATATAAATGTTATTATGATTCTCATGGCACTTCAAGTATCTGGACCTAGGCTGAATCTTCTGACACTATTCAGGGAAAGGAAGTGGGAAAAAAAACAAAAACAAGAACAAAAATCCCCTCGAGAGGGTGGTTGAAAGAAAAGATATTGGTTCACTTGTAAGCTGTAGCTTATTTTATAGACGCCACTGTATGACAATGACTATCGTTCTCCACTGGAATTCATTCTTATGGGCTCTGGCTGAATCACCTATTTTATTTGGTCAGTGCTTATTGGGCATTTACCACGTGCCAGACTTTAGACACCATGCTAAGCATGAGGTGTCCAGCAATAAAACATGTAATAGGGATCTTCAAACAGTGGAATAGACATGCCATTTCTTGGAAAAGGGAAAAGTCCTTTCTTTCCCAGGATTCTAGGAAACTGTACCTCTGTAAATTGCCTTAATTTTTCAGCTAAAAAAAACAGAGCCAGAACCACTATGAGATAATAGCCTTCATATGACTCTCACATCTCAGAACCTTTTAAGTTTATAAACTTCAGTCCTAGAATTATCAGTTTAATGGTGTTCCATTTCTCCCTATACCAAATGCCTTTCTAAAAATAAAAAGACTTGTTCTATCCTGACTCATTTGATTTGTTTTGTGGGCTCATGTTGACACCTGTATTTTGACTACTAAGTCAGCAATCTGAATAAGATAACAAATTTCATGTGTGAGTCACACACCTAAGTATTTAAAATATTGGTTCAAATTCCTTCTGATAAGTAAGCTGTAACTATTGTATTCAGATGCAGAAATTTTTCAAGTCATAGTTAAACAATAGCATTAAATATGAAGACCTATTTTTCTCTATTTCTAATAGCATCATTCCCAAGATAATGAGATAGTAATGCAAGCCAGGATGTTGTCTGCTTTCTCATTAGGGTGGCCTCGTCTCTGGGCATTAGTGAGGATCCTATGAATCTGTTTCAACAGAACTCTTAATGCCCATCTGACCTGCCCAAGCAATAGGTGTCTATGTGCAAAACCACAGGCATACATTGGTTGTTCTCTTCAGTGTTTAGACAGATGTCTCTCATTTTCCTGATTTCTGGATCTCCATTTGTCTCCACCCATTACTTCTTAATTATATCCCTGCATTCTGCCCACTTCACCCATTTGGAACGTAGCTTTCTGATTCTCACTGCCACCTTTCCCCCTTGGATTCTATATGGCTCCAACCTCATAGATTCAAGTTTCTCTGGAGTAAAGAGCACCCCGATCCTCTACCCTGAACTCACAAGATCCACAGAGTTGGACTAAGTCCTCTACCATCGGGAGTCGTCTTTTAAAACTACTCTCGCACACATCCAGAACATCTTTGAAGTTTTAGACTAGAATCACTGAAGAGCATCCCGTGGATTTTCTACTGGCAACTTGCAATGAGCAGCTGTGGGGTAGCCGAAGAGAATGGATCCTGGCATCCAGAGCAGATGGTCAAATCCTAGCCCAGTCACTTACTAGATCATTGATCTTCACTCCACCTAATTTAAGCTTCAGTCACTTTATCTATAAATAGAAATAAAACTAACCTCACAAGGTAGCTGTGAAGAATGAAGGAGGTAATGTAAGACCCAACTTGGTCGGAATAAATCCTAAACTACTTAGCCTGATAAGACCCATGCTCTGCCCCCTGGCAAACTCCCTGCCTTTACTTCTTATACTCTCCCTAATCTACCAACCACCCATCACACTGGTTGTCTCTCTATCTCTTGGACATGCCAAGTCCATTTTGAGAATTCAGACACCTCTCTCTTTGCATGAAATGCTTTCACCAGGAGTTCATATGACCATCCCTTCTCTAAGTCTCAGCTCAGATTTCCCCTCCTCAGAGATCTCTTTCAACACCTAAGCTACAGAGCAGTCCTCTTACTCAGTATTCTATCCCATTCCTTATTTTATTTTCTTAACAGCAGTTATCAATAATTGAAATATCAAAATTACTTCTTTTGGAGGCTCTCCTTGTCCATCTCCTCCCACAATCAATAAAGCACTATAAGAGTCTTTGTCTATGTCTCTCCTAAGCCTATTGCAAAGCTGGAAACATATTTGCTCAATAAATATCATTAAAATGACTGAGCAAATTCCATCTTTCAACTAATTACTGAAGTCTTACTAGGTTCTAAGGATGGTATGGTGGAAAGGTCAGTCAAATCTCTGGTTGAGGAGGCCACTCTCCCATTAGTAAGTCTGGAATATTAGTAAGTGTGAGTGTGTGTGTTGCAGGGCAGAGAGGATTGAGCAGACTTTTTTCTTCCTTCCAAATAGGACACTAGAAAAGAAAAACAATTGGCTTGTGGTATAAGAGAAAAACTTCAGCCCTTCTGACCTTTCATTTGTTCTAACCACAAGATTATATCAACCATGGAAATGGGACCAGTTCCTCTCTGACCAAAGAGAATATGTGCCAGTTTCATTGAATTTGACATAAAAAAAAATAAATTTTCTAAATGCTATCCCTCCCACACAGACATTTGAGTTATTGATGTCCTCTGACTTCAGATGTTGACAGTATGTTCAAATTTGAGGAAACCTTGAGAAACAAAAGGAACTGATAAACAATGTCTGTACCCAATCCCAAAGCTATGGTGCACTGCCTTCCTTCTTGCGGTCCTGAACAAAAAGCCTATTCATTCACTCAACAGGCATTATGAAAGACGGTAACATTTTTGAAGCCCCGACGGGAAGCAGATGGATAGTTACGTTAACAGGTTGCCTGACGATCTGATCAGGTCAACAACTTGTTTGTGGGTAAAGCCTTCCGTGTTCACGCCATTGATATTTGCAAGGACATCACCTGGGAGATGCCAAGAAAAGTGAGCTGTTAAGATAGTTGCTTAAATAATCCCTCCTGACATGCAAAAAAAAAAACAAGCCCCAAACCTTAGCAACATAAAGGAGCTAAGAAAATTCACAGCAGCAATCATATCTCAACCTTTGACATCATAAAGTTTTCTTTTCTTGCTATTTAAGGAATTCCTAACACAAGCAAAGTTACAAATTACCAGTTTGCAGGCCAGCATAGTGTGCTGGGCTGTCCTCCTGGATTTTGCAAATCAGAGTGCACATCTCTGAGGAGCACAGGTTCTGGTTCTGCAGCCTGTACGTCTGTAAAAATTAAAGTGATACATAATTACTACTCAAAAGCCTCAAAATCCATGTGTCAAAGAATAAAATGTGTTGATTACCTTAAGCAGTATAGTAGGTAAGTACAAAGAACAATTTGGAAAGGCTTTCTTGAATATGAACTGAATCAAAGATACCAATCGGGAAATTCAATGATGCAATCTGTAGCCAACCCCAACCATTAAAAAAGAAGGGGGCGGGAGGGTGCACCGGAGTGGTTCAGTCGGTTAAGCATCTGCCTTCGGCTTTGGTCCTGATCCCAGAGTCCTGGGATCCAACCCCATGGGTTCCCTGCTCAGCAGGGAGCCTGCTTCTCCCTCTCCCTCTGCCTGCAGCTCCCTCCGCCCCCACTCATGCTCTCTCCCTCTCTCTCTCAAATAAGTAAGTAAAATCTTTAAAAAAAAAAAAAAATCCCAGCTTGCGGGAGAAAGTAGGAATAAGACTGCTTTAAGATTTTGTATGTTCAAGCCTAAGAGACCACCTGATGCTCTCATTATTACATATCTATTAAGAAAAATCAGGTCTCTTATTTCCCAATGGGATATAACAATAGTAGCCAAAAGCAAAGAGAAAAATCTCTGTGTAGTTCTCCCAAGCTAAAGCACTCATTACAGCAGCATACGGAACAGTACACATCCAGGAAGGGAGATATGCCAACAATAATTATTTTAAATCAGAGCTCTGCAAATAATGACAATCTGCCCTGCATTTTTTCAAAAGTACTATAATCGACGCGATCACCTTCTTGTCTAAGTGCTCTCTGCTGTGCCTGCCCTGAATACGCATCGGTTCATTAGTCACCCAACCAAATTAGAAAAACTTATGCTTCATCTCTCGCCTCAGTTTGGCAAAAGCAGCTTGGTTTTGTTTTTGTTTTTATTTTTGTGTCAAATTGTACTAAGAATACTGCATAAATATTGCTAGAGAGAGTGGCCCAATGACCTATAACAAACAGATTTGTATTTTTCACACATCTAAGTTATGAAGCCTAGTTCCATTTAGAATCAAAATCAGCACCTGAGTTAAGTAATCTGATTCCTAAAGTTAAACCACATTACAGCACAGCTTCCTTGTGGAGAAGTTAATGTCTGATGTTCATTCTTTCTTACTTTACGGACACACAGGCTCCAGAACCCAGAAGTCAGTCACGTGCAAGCAACTCCTAGAAACTTGACTTTGTTAATATCTAAGGAATTTCTATTCTCTCTGCGAGGCATTTGGAATCCCCGTATGGTAAATGTAGAAGGGACCTTTTAAAGATCATTTAACATCCTTCCCATCTATGGCAGAGACCTCTTTAACAGCTTTTCTGCCGGGAAGTCTTCTTGCTAGAGCCTGGACCCTTCCAGGAATGGAAAGGTGATCTGGTTCATGTGGTACATGGGCCAAAGCTCTAACAGTCATTCCTCTGGGAAACCACTGTTAGAACAATTTTTATTATCGGTGAGCATCTACTCTCCAGGTACAGTGACCAAAGTGAGTCCAGTGAGGGGGAAACGTGTTGATTTACACAGCCGGGATATATGTTTGCAACCAGTGTAAAACACGTGGGTTGGGGATAGAGAAGAAAAGGCAGAGGCCCCAACGTTATGGATGGAAATAGTCAAATATTTCTCTCTCTCACCCGGTCTTCCAGGTCCCATTTTTAGAAGCCAATGACAAAATAATCCCCGGCATTTCTGAGAGATACAAAAGTCACACTATGCTCTCTCAGGCCCAGTGACTTTAATGCTAACGCCTTCCATTGGCTGATCTACTGATACCGGGCACGTTACTAAGTACTTTATAAGATGTGTTATTTCATTTGAAACTCCTAAAAACCCCACAAGGCAGCACTGAGAGAGCATGACCTTAGTATGTATGAATCTAATGTTTGTCTTGCTCCCATACAGCATGATTCTCACTAGCAGTATAAAATTAGCACCCGTGGAAATCCAAAAAGGAGGTGGACTTGTTTCTTTTCCAACATGCCCTTCACTCGGGAGACCAGGCCCCAAATACACGTTAACAATGGGCACACAGTAGGGGGACCTGAGGCTCTATCTGGTCTTCAAAAAGTTCCCAGGGCATTTCCCCTATTTGGTGACTACTGCTAAAGGATAGATTAGGGGGTGGAGGTGGCAATGGAAAGCATACACTAAATGGGAATCGGCAGGAGAATGGGTTCCTACTTCCCTGGAACAGGCTGCAGTTCAGAAGGGAAATCCTTGGCTCGTGTTGATCTACAAAGGTTCAAGGTGCTGTAGCCTGCTGTCCAGTACTGATAGTTTTGACCCTTGCTTCACGTAGAGTTGGCATTCATGGTATGGGGGAGAAACACGGGGGAAACAGTGACCTATATCATAGAAGAGCCAGAAAAAAGATCCCCATTTGTTGCACTAAATAGGGTAAGTGAGTAGTCATTGATCCTGTTTCCAGTAGCAACTGCTACACCTCCTGTGGGTAATTCTCATTTAAAAAGAAGCAGTCACAAAAAGCACCATGTCTCCACAACAGAAAGGGAGTGTTTCGTGTGAATGGGGAAGAAGTGAGAGTACTATGCTTCTAAAGCCTGATAGAAAAATTATAGATTTCACCAAATTTAAAAGTAGAATAATTCAGAAAGTAGAAAGTATCTTTCTTCCTCCTATAGCCTTCTCCCTAGTCATTATAGCTAGAGTTCCATTTTGTTTTGTTTCTTTATTCAGAAAGCATGTTTTACTTGGCAGTTTCCTGTTCCTAATCTTCAAATACACACTGACTTTCCAATATGGGGGTTGATATTTGGTCACCAAACTTTTCTAAAAGCAGCACCAAAGCTAAGACCTAAAAGCTGATGTGCAGTGTAAAAGTATGATTATGCAAAAGACATAAAAAAAGAAATGCAAAAGTGTGATGGAAGAAAAAAAAACAATAATACTTAAGCTATTACTGTTGGACTTAATTGGATTAGACTTCATTTGGCCTAACTCACCATCTTTACAAATATGGCCATGGAAGAGCAGACAGCAAATGAGAAATGAAATTCTTAGGTTATTAGAAATAGAAACCTATGGGAGGGGGGGAGTCGGAGGGGGAGAAGAACCATGAGAGACGATGGACTCTAAAAAACAAACTGAAGATTCTAGAGCGGAGGGGGGTTGGAGGTTGGATTAGCCTGGTAATGGGTATTAAAGAGGGCACATATTGACTGGAGCACTGGGTGTTACATGCAAACAATGAATCATGGAACACTACATCAAAAACTAATGATGTAATGTATGGTGATTAACATAACAATAAAAAATTTAAAAAAAAGAAAGAAATAGAAACCTATAAAGACTCTTAGAAATTTCCTAGAGCATGAGATAATATGCAAGTAGATCCAACTTTTCTAAAATGTTTCAAATAATAATTATAAGATGTTGTCATTAAGAAAAAAGTCCAGCGGCGCCTGGGGGGCTCAGTCCATTAAGCCTCTGACTCTTGGTTTCAGCTCAGATCATGATCTTAGGGTTGTGAGATCGAGCTCCACGTGGGGCTCCATGCTCAGGATGGTCTGCTTGGGATTCTCTCTCCCTCTCCCTCTGCCCTTCCCCCTGCTCATGCACACACATGCTCTCTGTCTATCTCTCAAAATAAATAAACCTTAAAAAAAGATAAAAGTCCTAATTTCTTCTTTATATCTGAGATGATATCTTTAGTATTTCAAAATGTAACAGGAGTTATATATGAATACATGCAGTCCCATACACACAAATCTGCATGTTTTCAAGTATTTCTTGAATACCAAAGTATAGATTTAAAATCTGATATACAGTATAAAAATGATTATGCAAAACACATCTGAAATGCAAATATATAAAAATGCACATCTGTAAAGAGTATTTCATTTTCTTATTTGAGACCTGGCTGATATCAAGTATTTCTGGTCAGTCTCAGACTTACAGGAAAACTAAAGCAACTAAGAGCAAGTTGCTGAGCATGTCTCAGGGGTTTTATTTTAACTGCTTCAATGTTTTCTTTCCTTGATGGTACCTAGCCTACTGAAACACTACCCCAAACAAACCACTGCACATTGAATAAAAGTCACAGTGTTCATCACTCTCTAATCCTGACTTCACCCTTGCCTAGCAAATATCACACTACCAGCACCACTTTCTTCATTAAAAGTCTGGAAAATTGAAAACTGCCCACCTGAATTTCAAATCCAAACATTCCATTATCTTGCTTTTCCACGGTAATGAGCTTTCTGTAATAAAACATTAAAAATATGCATGAAGATCAAAGCATCACATTTGGCACATTCTTATCATGAAATAACTATCACAATTACAGATGACTGACATTCAGGTAAACTGTAATTTGTAAGACTGTGTGTTTGTGTGGGTGTGGGTGTGCACGTGTGTGTGTGTGTGTGTGTTAGTGCATGCTGCTAGGAGACCAAAAAAATTCATGAATCTCTTTACCTTTGAGACCAGGAAAAGTCACCTAAAGAACTTGATCTTGTCAAAGCAAGCTGAAAAATATAACAAGCACACAGTTATCAAAAGGTCCTAAGACACATTTATAAAATGTTCTAAATCACAAAGGACTTTGTTCTTTATCACCTTCTTCGGCCCAGCTCTGGGAAATCGTTACGTAAAAGTGGTAATTTCCATTCTCTGTTGGTAGCAAAGGAGAGCCCGGACAGGGAACATTCGAGCATTAAAAAGCTAAAAAGAGGCTCAGATAATAATACACCGTGGCAAAAGAGTTCGTGTAATGTGGCAAAACTCCAAAGCTTCCAAAAAGAATGTCATATCTAATCTGTATTGAAAAGAGCCCCTGAAAGATTAACCAGAGCAATTTATAATCACACGGAAATCCAAAGAAAACAACACCCATAGAATGGCATATAAAATACTTGATAGTTTTTTGAGATACTGATGAAAGGACTGTATTTACTATAATAGTTCAATGTGTTGCTGTTTTTAGGAGGATATAATAATCTGTAAAGAACCAACACATACACAGAAATACAACTGAGGTGAAACCAGGGACTCAAAACCTCAATTCTGTTTTATGATTTATCTTTGCAATAGTTTTGGAAAAGTGCAATGAGATTTCCAGCCAAGAAAGGAAAGGAACCTCAAAATGGTATAAACCGTATGAATACTATCACCTTCACTCTCCTGCATGCTTTGGAAAAAGATCATATAGACATAAACTCCCAGGATATATTCTACCCCTGTAAGTAGGAAAAATAAGCAAAAGGAAGCATCTTGTTTTTCAGGTGATTGCTGTGAGTGTGTGTGTTTTTATTTCATTCCTTTAGGAATTAACACAAGTTAATTAACCCTTTCTCAAGTCTTGGTCCAGGGACCCAAAATGTCAGCTTACAGTACTAGCTAAACCATGGTGTTTCACTGTCACTCTGATATGCTTGTCATCGATCAGTGAGTACATTAAAAAAATGTCAGGAGATGAACACATAGTCCAAACACATACAAATATATACTCTCAATACATAGTCCAAACAAATACAAATAAGACAAATAGAGCATGAAAAACAGGATAAAAACGCATAAAAGTAATTACTGCACACAAAAAAAATCCTTATTAAGGCATTTGTTTGGAGAGAAGCCTGTATCACTGTTAATGAATTTGAGTTACCAAGTAGCAAATGCCAGCATTCTCACAAACTTTCTGGAATGGCTCAGAGTTCAGAATTCACCTATTGATCAATAAAGCTACTGTAAAGAGGAGCTGGTCTTCTCTCATTGATTTGATGTAAATTAATTACATTTTGTAATTCCTTGTCTTTTCAGTTCTGGACCTCAGACCATTTATATCATCCTGAAGACTGCACTAGGAAGGCTCAGCCCCAAAAAAGAGTCTCTAGTTTTGCTAAAAAGTATTATTTATTTTCAATTTGTAAGGACTAACTGTAGAAGGCCTCCAACAATTTGTATGGTTTGTTTTAGCCTGATTTGTCTTACCTACCACAGACATGGGCGGGGACCACTCAGCTATGCAATGGGGCCACCTTCGTATGGAGGAGAGTGATAAACTTGACATTCCCAAGCATTCTCATCTCTCCAGTATACTGTACTCACATTGTCTTAATCTGTTTTCATTATTTGTATCTGCCTGGCTTTTACTCTTATTTCCAATTTTAAGGTACTTAGGTAGGTCATATCTACTTATGTTATCTGTTATTGTTAACTAGGGTTTCTATTTAAAAAATACTACTCTTGACTTTCAATATTCATCATATCATTCAGATATTCATATATGAGGAGACATGTATGTGTGTTTATATACAGGGTATGCTGGATCAAATACCTCAGTTCTGAACATAATTATCCGTATCCTTTGGGCCTCTTGGGGAATGTACTTGTTATTCCCCTGTGCCTAGTGCAGGGCCTGGAATAGAGAGGAAACTTAAAAATAGCTAAACAGACAAACAGAAGTAAACTACCAAACACCAGTATAAGTAACTAAGTAGTGGTGAAAGATCAAATGCAGGAGGAATGTGTTAAAATACTTTTCAACTTTGTCCTTCAGCAAATTTTAAATATTCACGGGAAAATCTCAAGGGTAATCATTAAAAATACAGAATTAAATTTAAAAAATCCAAAACATGTGGCAACATTAAAAATGAAAATCAAGTCAAAAAATAAGATCAAAAAAAAAAATCTCAATCCAAAAACAACAAGAACCACAGAGAAAGGACTAACAGAAAGCAAAGGAAGTTAGTAATGCTTTAATACATCACCACCAAATGAATAAATGGTAGCAAGGATTAATGAGTTATTAAAATTTCCAACCTTTCCTCAGCAATTTTAAATGCCCTTTTGCCAGGCAAATAATCACAATATTGAGGGGAACCTCAGGATTCCATCTGGCCCACCTGCAATCTGCCTTCTAAATAATAAAAAAAAAAAATTATATTTAAATTCAAATCTAAAATCTTTTAAGTCCACAAGACAAATCCAAGACCTCCACACAGAAGGAAACTGCCCCACCCTTCTCCTGCTAACCTTTCTATCTAGCTAATTGACTAGTTGAAAATATTTGCCTAGCACAATGCAAGATGCATGGCAGAGACTCAATTCCTGTGGACTGACTGATTTGGGTTATCAGTGACACACAAAAAAATCAGACCAAGTCAAAGTATAAATTAGTTTCTACCCTGGATGAGCGATGAACCTCTCTTCGGCACCTAATATTTAAATAAAAAAGAATTTAAATAAATTAGGTACCATCAAATTCTCTGACACGTGCCACATCTTGACACAAAGCCTACTCGTCTTTGATCTGGGCTGTCAGACTCAGGCGAAGTGGAAAGGAAGGTTCTCAGGGTTCCACCTTGCTCACACACCAAACTTATCTGCCGAAGTGGGAGGAAGTATGCCTAAGGCCTTATGGAAGGACTCACGCTTTGGAAAATGTATTGCCCACAGCCCTTCTCCTAGAGTGAGCTGTCCTGTTCTCAGATCCAACCAGTGGAGGCCGCGCTCCCGAGTGCCCTCCCAGCCAGAGCGTCTTCTCAGGATGGCAGTGCGAGACGCACGAATGAAGGAGCTGGTGTGTGAACGAATGGTATATGCTGGCAACAGCTGTCTTTTATTACACATTATCTAATATGAGAAATCCAGGTTTGGCGATTTGGCAGGCCTGCAAACTACACATTCAATTACCACTGCTGATTAAGACAAAGCTCCTTAACCCCTTGCTGCCACTAATAGAAAGATGCCTGGGGGTGAGCTTACGATTCCTCTTCTTTTTGTTTTTAGTCAGATGACTTAAAAGATCAGGCATTAATATTCAAAATGTAATTTTTGCTGTTATGCAGTGATTCACAGTGCCCCTCTTTAGTAGGACGCGAAGACCAAATATTTCAGCTGTCAGTTTGCAAAAGATATGGGTCATCTGTAGCTCAGAGAGCTAGCAGGCCGGGAGGAGCTCCAAGTTCAGTATTGTAGCCACTTCAGCTGCTAAGTAACAGATTGTTACTTCCTGGTCCCCACTCAGTGAACTCACTTCCTGAAAGTATCGGGGGTGGGGAGGGGATACTTACTAACAGGGAAGGTGTTTCTTTTGCTTTTATTGTGTCAAGCCTCCACAAATTATGTGCCCTGCTCACTTTCGAGTCCCTGCCTCCCTCTCCCTGATTCTTCCATGAATATGGCTTTTTTTGTCCCTGTTTCCCTTTTAAGCCAGGAGCCTTGGGATAGCAGGGCTCTGCAGACTATTCTAAGATACTTGCTTAATGGAGCTGACTTCAGTTTCCTAACTTGTAAGTGCCCTCAAGGAACCCAAATAAAAGTCCCAGCTTCCCGAGAAAGTCTCATTGTGGATTCATGAGCTCCTTTTTCAAGAAAAACTGTGGGCTATTGATTCCAAGCATGTCACAATACGGATTAGAGGACACTTCTCGAATTCTTTAGTAGTGAAATTAATAGTTTTCTACCTGAAGTATTCATTAGATGATCCAAATACCTTGTTGTAGTTAGGAACACTTGGGAGCTTCGGTAACAGATGGGCGTGCGGCCAGAAATCAGGTGAAAGCCCCCGAAGGGCAGAATCCACCCCAGAAATACACGCTTTGCAAAATTCTGTATCTGAGCTTTTAAGTGAAATCGCCCTTTCAGAAGGTGCCTGTTGAGCAATAATTCGGTAACGGGAAGACTGTCAGGCAAAGGCAGTCTGTGCTACCACTGAGGCACAGTCCAGCTTCCTGCCTGGTCCGCAGGTCCCTGGCTCTCGTCGCAGCTTTTGGTGAACTCTGTCTTCCAAATGCAACTTACTACCCTCGGGGCTTATCAGGCACAAGCACTACTCCTTTGCCATCACCACATTTATAAAGCCTCTCCTTATTTCCTCTGGTCTCCTTTCCACCGTGTTTTCCATTGCAGGGATTTTTTTTCCCCTAAAATTATGTTCAGAGGTAGAAGCTGCACTGCAGTGTCTGTCACCTCCTGCAAATACAGGTATAGAGGTAATATGCACACACAGAAGTCTATTTTTAAGCAATTCTGAGTGTAAACACCCAAATGCTCTGAAAATTAATCTGAAACTACAGGCTCACCAGATACAGCTTTGCAGAAGCCAAAGCCAGCAATAACGAGAAGTATGAATTGTTGACGTCAGCCCTGAAAGTGTTGAAAATAACAGTGGGCAGAGAGACACCTGCTCGTGGGATTGCCTCACAGGGATCTTCTTGCCTGCAATTCGGTCAGTGCAAAATGGGTGATTATTCTCTAAAAACCACTTAAAAGAAATGAACATCAATTTGGAAAATTCTGAAATGTTGGGATAAACTTACATCAAGTCTCATTGATGAGAATTGTACAGAACCCTAAGTATCATGTAGAAGAGGTTTTGGTTTTGGTTGTTTTTTTTTTTTTTCCTTACAGTAATTCTCACAACAGGAAGAAAAAGCTCTTCGAATAGGAGTTTACTATGGGAAAGAACATGAGAAAAGGGAGAAGAGAGGACCTAAAAAGAGAACATCAGATAAATTCATTGGTGTGGGAATGTGTGCATGTGCATGTTCACGAGTATATGTTATCTACATATGCACGATGAGTGTGTTCCATCTCCCTCCATCCCTCTCACAGTCTCCTTCCAATAACCTACTACTGACTGCCTTCTCTTAGTCCACGCTGTCTTAACCCATGCTTAAAACCAGATGTGGCTCCTCCATCTTCACTGCCTTTCACAGCCAAGTCTCTGGGTCTCCTCTCCATTCCGTCCATTTCCTCTTTCTCCAACTACTGCAAAAGTTGCTCCCTCGCCACTCATCCCTACCCACTTACCGACACACCACATTTCTAGAGTGAGGTTCCTAAAACCCTCTCCTGCTCAAACACACCCCGTGGCTTCCTGTGCTGGTCAAATGACTGCATCCTCGGGGGAAGTGCTCAAGTGTTTCATAAAGCAGCCCAGCTCCAAGGTCTCCCCTCCCTTCCCACAGACACTCTGGACACAATAATGTGCTGTTATCTCAACGTGCCCCAAAGGTCCCCAAATCTGTGCCTCAGCATTAATTATTGCCTTGCTCTAGAATACCCCTCAATCACTGGAATATCTGTCCTTCAAGGTTATATTAAAAGGCGTGTCCCTGGATTAGAGCATTTATGTTGTATAATGCCTATTCATTTGTTCTGCCTACTGAATTGATAACCCTACAAGGCCAGGAAATGTGTTCTTCTCATGTCTGTACCTCCTACACTGCTCTATATCTGAAACCTGAATAAAGATCTTGGTGCTTCCCACAGCTGCTTTATTTTCAGGCAAGTAGTAAATTGATAGAAGTGTTCATCATTTGATTAAGCTTAATGTCATAAAAGCATTTGGGATTAAAAAGATCAAAAATCCGAACCATGGCAAATTATGCCCTTATCTTCATTGTGAAAAATAATGAGGAATCAGCTATATACATCACTGAGAAAAGATCACGACTCTCCCTCTATGCTTTAACTCTCTAATCCTGAAATTAGAAGGTTTAAGAGGAGCCCGTGATGTGCAGTAGGATTTAAGGGCAAAACCTCATGCTTTAAAGCAATTCTAATTCTAAATTCAGATATGTACTTGGAGCATGATAGCAAGTTATAGAACCAAAACCTGAAGAGGTTAAAAAATTGTTTTAAACATTGGAAATCATAGAATGAAAGAAACTAACTCAACTGGACATGGATTTTTCTAAATAAGTTTTCATCTCTAGGGAAATATCTTGCAGTACAAATAAAAACGATAACATAATTTTTAAGCACATACTACATGTCAGTCACTGTGTTAAGCACTGCCCACTTCCTCACTTAAGCCACAGAAGAGCTCCTTAGGGTGGGTCTGTTGTTATCTCCATTATAGAAAAAAGAAAACTAAATCTTAGAGGGGCAAATGAATTGTCCAAGGTCCCACAGCTAAGAAGTGACTGCGCTGGTATTCCATCAGCCATTCACTTATCTAATAAAAGCCTTAATTCCTAATAGCATTAGGAATGTGCCTGTACCCCAGCCCTGAAAATAATTTAGTCAACAAAATTTGTCCTGAAGAAAAAGTGCTCTCCTTGGATTGGAAATGACTATCAAGGAGTGAAGCCGGGAGGAAGGAATCAATGAGACACGTAGGGGTGGGGGGGGAATCAATAATTCTCAAACTGGCCATGTCTATATGAACTAAGTTCGATGCACTTAATGATTTTCATTTTACTTCAACACCTCTTCAAATGAGAAAAACAATCTTCTTTTAAGTTTTGCCTTGAAATTTTTTTTTTTTATTATGGTCTTAAATCTTTTGGACTAGTCCACAAGCTCTTTGGGCTCCCTGTCTCCTTCCTCACCCATACTCTTAGTGACTAATTCCAAAGCCTCTAAAATACAATTTCGGTGTGAAGTCAGACAAACACATCAACTCTGCTCTCAAGAGAACATGAACACTCTGAAAGTACAAAACAGTAATCATACCTGCTTTCGTCCCCGAGGCAAAGTAGCCACAGTGTCTGCCAGCATTTGAATCCTTCTATTATCATCCATTCGGAAGCTGCCCGTGAGCGGGGAGTAAGAGTTATATGCTGGACCAGCGCAGTAGTCCACCAAATTGCCATTGCAGCTCTGTTGCATGAGTCTTTGTAAAGACATTGTGAATAAAGATTACTCCAGCTCATACATGGTTGAGTGGCCTTGCAGGATGGGGGAAGCTAAAAACTCTCTGACGAGTAATCAAAAGTAGCAAAGCAGAAAAAGCCCATGTGACTTCTGTGGTTTTAGGTACTTGTTACACAAACCCTATCTTGCAGTTCTCTCCCATTTCTCAGTGCTTTTTTCTTTAAGCCCCTGGAAGAAACTAGTTTTACCATTTAAAAAAAAAAAAAAATCAACTTATTTTTTTTCTCTTTCAAACAGCCAGAACTCTCATGCTTTTATGTTCTACAGCAAGTTTTGTTCAAAACACCATCTGCCTTTTTTTTTTTTAAAGGAAGAAAGAAAAATTTCCCCAAGTTCTGCCATGTGTTACCCACCCATTCTCCTACTCACTATGGGCAGTGCAATGTCAAAGTCAGGATATGCAGACATTGAGTTCTTGTGGATATAAGCAAGAATTACAGGGTCCAGTCATGTCTCACAAAGTCCTTTTAATGTACTTTCCCTGAAGTATACCCTAGCTCATTAATGTTCATCAAAAAGACATTGTATCTGCCACTTGGTCTGTAACCATTCAGCATTCTTCTGCTTGCCCTTCTACTACTCTGTCCTGACTAAAATGATCCATCATCTTTACAAGGAACAACGGGAAGAGAAGACCAGCACATTCAGAGCTCAAAGTTGGCCCTATCTTAGACTGCACTTTATTGCAGCATCAGCGTGTGGTCCTGGGGGAGGAATGGAAAGGACAGGAAGGTATCAGGCAAACCAAGGTGGCATAAGAATGTTACCTGTTGGTCCCTGCATGCTCAGATGGGCCAAGGGCACCATCATGAAGTACACAAGATCACATACACTTTTTTTAGTGGGGGATTGGCACATGTAGTTTCAAGAGAACTGGTTTCAGAGGAGGAGCAGGGGATGTAAGTAGAGGAAAGATTCAAAACAAAAATCAAAAAGAGAAGTTTTACATACTACAAAAAGTCAACTGTGACTTTCAAAATAATTTTGAAGGTCAAGAGTAGAATATAAAGGAGTAGAAAGTTGTGAACTAAAATGGAAGTCAGGGTGAATTCAGCTCAAGCAGAACCTGACAAATATAAATGGTAAAATCTTCTGAGTTAACAGTGCTTCACGAGATAGAACTACTTCAGGAATTTTTAAAACCTGATCACAGCATAATTCACTACAATTGGAATTGGATTATGACATGAACAAAATGATGTCTCTAAAAACATTAAAATAGGGGAGTCTGCCTTCAGCTCAGCTCATGATCCCAGAGTGCTGGGATCGAGCCCTGCATCAGGCTCCCTGCCCAGCAGGAAGCCTGCCTCTCCCTCTCTCGCTGTGTCTCTCTCTGTCAAATAAATAAATAAAATCTTTAACAAAAAATAAAAATAAAAACATAAAAATATCTAAATCAGGGATTATAAATGCATTTGCCTTCAGGGGCCAGGTGGGTAAAATAATATAACATAAATGTGTAAAACAAAAGAGAGTGGTAGAGACTTTGGCAACTAAATAATATGTCAATTATGAAAATATTTATGTAGTGTGTGTGTGTGAGAGACATTTTAAAACATCTCTAGGCTGTGAGGTACATGATTTAAATCAACACTATTAATTGAGGACAGCAGTCCACCTGTCCCCTAGGAATTTTATGAGTTAGGTAATTATTTTTATATTTCAAAATGCCAAGTGGAAATTACACATTTGCCTGATATAAGGCCATATAGGCCAGGTGACAACCAAGTGTTACAGACGAATGCTAAAGTTGTATCAGTTTTGTATGTTATACTGATATTAAACTAATATAAATTACAGAAGTCTGTTATTAAATTAAGAAATCGGAAAATAATTTTTTTTACTTAATTTATGAAATGTGTTTAAGGAGTAGAATCTTTCAAATCATGAGATCCCTGGCTGTACCACCAGAGACAAAGGCAGATCTGACATTCAGCCAGTTCATAACAGTATGATCACATCTGTTAATTATATATTTAGGACCTGGTCTATTTTGATTGGCCAGTTCCCTGTTCTGATTGTTAAAGTCTTATGTCATACTGGTTATTAAATATTTTGAATAACATCCCTGATCAAACATCCTTTGTGATAAAAATGTGGGAAAACACTAATCTTTTCATACAAATATGACTTCAAGCCTCAAACCCTTGATTCACAAAGGTGTTCTACTATTTACAACTTCTTTTTTTTTTATAGAATTTACCTCAGGGCAATTACACTATTCTGAACTCTCTTCCTCTTCATCCTCCCCTTTATTTTATTAAGGAGATTCTAAAAGTGAATCTGATCAAGCTATCTACCTACTCAAAAGATTTCAGAAATGCCTCATTGTTCATAAAATAAAATAAAATAAAATAAAACTTCTAAAAATTGCAGTTCTTAGCTAACTTTATTCTCTGAAATGTCATATCATCTTTTTTTCTCAGATATTTCTTTTGACATTTAACATATTATACTTAAATTATACCTAGAAAGCAAGGGCCATTTTGTATCTTTAAATTTACATTCATGTTCTATGTGTAGAAAGTGTTCGAGAAATGTTTGGGTTTTTGTGTTGTTGTTGTTGTTCTTAAAGATTTTATTTATTTATTTGAGAGAGAAAGTGAGAGAGAGAAAGAGAGCGAGCAGGGACAGAGGAAGAGGGAAAAGCAGACTCCCCTGCTGAGAAGGGAGCCCGATGCAGGGCTAGAAATATTTGTTAATAAAAAGAAAAGGGCAGGGAAGTAGATATTTAACAAAATGAATTAAACAATATTCTTCTAAAGCATCAAAGCATATTTCTAAACTAGTAGAAAATGTTTGTATTACGCACCCATATGCCAAAGTACAACAGTCTTCTGTAAGGAGTAATCTGAGAGATGAGGAAAGAATCTCTTTTAAAATATGTCTGTTATGTATTCAGAAAGCTAACATCCCATTATTGGGGGGGGGTTATTCTTATATGAGGCATTTTGTTCATAAATATGCAAATACTCTTGGAATGAATCAACCTTTAGTACAAATTAGATGAATCCTGAGGAGCTGGAACGTGGGGATGATGTGCTGGAGCAGGTGAGAAGGGTATGACAAAAGTACAGAACACAGAAAGGCCGAAGGGTCTAGAAGACAAGCTTGGCCAACTCTGGGACCTCCATGAGACTCATAGACAGCTATAGGAAGCTACAGGGGCTTCAGTGCCTAACTCCTCAAATCCTGGCTCTACTGTTCAACAGTACCGTGACCTTGTAAAAGTCACTTAATCTTTCTGCTTTGGCCTGAGTTGTGTCCCTCTACACTCGTATGTTGAAGCTCCAAACCCCAAGGTGACTGTATTTGGACACAGGACCTGTAATTAAGGAAGTAATTAAAATTAAATAAAGTCATAGGGTGGACTCATGATCCCATAGGATTAATGTCTTTCTAGAAGAGACATCAGAGAGCTAGTGTTTGCTAGCTTGCTCTCTGTTTCTCTGCCACGTGAGGACATAGAGAGGAGGTAGCTGTCTGCAAGCCAGAAAGAGAGCTCTCACAAGGAACCCAATTACTGGCACCTTGATCTTTGACTTCCCAGCTGTAATAAACTATAGTAACTATAATAAATTTCTGTTGTTTAAGCCACCCAGTCTGTGGTATCGGTCCAAGCTGACTAATATGCTCTCTAAACCTCAGTTTTTACATATCTAAACTAAAAATTTTAGGGAGAAACAGATCAAATAGTCCAAGCATAGCACTTGGTACAAAGTAAAGTATTACTATTGAGTTTTAAGTAATAAGAATTCAAAGGAAAAACTTCAAAGGACATTACTTGAATTCTCTACGAACTGCCTTATTTACTACCAAACGCTCATATATGTAGCCAGAATGACCTCATCCATCCAAGAGCAGTCTAGAGGCTAGACTACATGTGAAGATCCTCACTGTCGTATACCAGGCAGGTTATGCCTCTGAAGC